CGCTCGATGCCGTGCATCCCAAGGGATGCTGCCCCCCTCCCCTAAGAGGACCATCTGGCCATCTGGCCATCTACCTCGGACGTCTGGCTCCGAGCTCGTGCGCCTGCTCGTACGACTCATACATACAGAACGACCCTTGATGACCTGCAAACGCGCGGCCGGTGATGCAGTTTCCTTCCGGTCAGTCATATGTGCATGATAAGCCCGCCCCAGCCAGTCAGCGCGGCGTCAACGATTCCGATCCGGACGCCTTACATACGGACGGGGTGGAGGGAGGGGGGTCGCTTCTGCTGGAATCCTCGGAGAGTTGGCCCTAGCAATTTGGCTGGGCGAGGATGAGTCATCTTGCGTACGTGGTCTGTCTGTCGCAGTGTGTTTTACCGCAACTGAGACACGCTGTAACTGTCGCAACCAGAGCCCAGGTTTGGCTGGCATGAAGATGGACGAGAGTTGAGTTCAAGGCACAAGGCAGGCACCCAAGCATGCAGCAATGCGAGCAGATGTGCCTCGTAGATGCATATTGCCCCGCTAGTCGAATATCCGCACAAATGCTGTTGGCGCCCACGTGTGTCAAGCCTAGCGCCATCGCGGCCATCTGAAACGCGCGGGCTCTCGAGAGTCCATTTTTCTCCCCCAAACCCCGTTTATTCGTTGCCCCGATGCTTTGAGTGGAGGGACTTGCGAATGCCTCGTTCAGCTGGGCCACAAGCCGGAGCCCGAAGCGCACCGATTCGCTGCCTCATCTTGATTGCGCCTCAAAGCGCGATATCCATTCCTCCAGGCCCTTTCATTTATCCCGGGCTTCTGGAACGTCCTCTTTTTGTTCCTTTTTTTCTTCTCATTCTCTCTCGTTTCCGCATGCAAGAAATAGCTCGTCTGGTTTCCGATTGCCGACGGCGATGGCGATGGCGATGAGCAGAAACATACGCGGTAGTTGTATCCATAGCTACGGTGCCCCGAACGGTGCAAGGGTCGAGAGAAAGGAGGTTTGTTTGCCATCGTGATTGGCGATGCGAATCTGCTGAGGACAGACTCCGCGGCTCGCCGGATGCTTGCCCGACCCGAGATCTCCTGAGAACCGCTGTGCGTCAGCCGCCCTGCTGCTGCTGTTGTCTGTCAAAAACGGACGGGATCCTGCCAGCTGGAATCCCGCGGCAGGCCGTCTGGGCGCCCAGCTTCTGGATCGTACGTCTTGTTCTATTACCTACTGTATTGTGGCTTATTGCTTTCGGCGGAGACGCCGGGCCCCGACTCCGTTCACCGACTCGATTTTTTATTTTTCTCAACTTAAACCACCTTGGTCCGCTCGAGCCTCTGCAAACCGCGCGGCTTTCGGGCATGAATTGTGCGTCTTTACAGTTTCAACTACGCGGCGCTATCCCATTGTAGTGGCGTTTTGCGGCGCATGAGAGAGCGGGAAAAATAAGAAAGAGTCAGAGGTTTTGTCGAGACGGTGAGGAATTCTGTGTCCACAAAAGAGTTGGGCAGCCTCAGCACGGAGCACATTGGGACGGATTGCGCGAGCTGGCAGCGGCGCCTTGTTCCCTTGGATCTCTGGGATAGCCCCGGCTTGAGCTTGTTGTTGTGGCCACAGGGATATGGAGACAGCCTCGCTGGCATGTTCCTGCTCAACCCAAGGCCCGTCCTGGAGCGTTTCAATTTGAGTCGTTTCCGCATCATGAATGAAATGCAGGCTCTGGTGCGTCTCATTCACAGCACTCGAGCATGGAGCGACCCTGCAAGCAATTGGCATTGTGGCCTGTTGGCTGTGGCCTCTCGTACGGTGCCAATGCAGCCTGCTGTGCATTCTTATTTTGGCATCAATATCATGGATGGTGCGTGCAGTAGTAGAGCCATCTTGGCCCGTCCGCGCGTTTTCTGCATGTACAGCCACCGAGAAGGACGACGAGCCTAGTCGTATTATTATTGCAGCACCGCAACGCAGCGCAACACCCCCAAGACACGTCTCGGACCGGGCGGCTCAATAGCTTTGCTTCCTAGAGGAGCTTGGATGTGCTCGAAACAGAAGCTTAGCTGAGTCAATAGCTCATAACGCCGAGACAATGTGATGCATCACCGGGCAGGTACATACATGTAAGCAGCAAGCTGGCGGGAAAGCTCTGGCGATGCTCGGGATTCTACAGTCCAAGCCTTGTTCCTCCTCTTGCATCCAGAATCCTGCCACGACGGGACACTCGGCTGACAGCCCTCTCCCGCTATCGGGCTTAGCGAGTGAGGCGAAGAATGCCATTTTTTTTTGTTTTCTGTTCTTTGCCCCAGGTGTTGTTGACTGCATATGGATAGTACTATGGATGTTTGTTCCCCCTGTCGGATATCCACCGACGAGGGCGGCGATGACAGGTCTGGCAAGCCCACCGCTCTGAGATGTCGGAGAAAACGTGCGGCTTTTGGGCATCGAGATATCGGATGGTTCCCCTGGTCCTTGCCCAAATTACCCGGCAAAAGGACTGCAGAAGGGCAGAATCACGAACTGATTGGATTGGAGTTCGAAGAAGAAGAAAAAAAACTTTCATGGTGGACCGAGGCCATTGGACGGATTGTCTGCGAAAATGCCAGACAAGACCGGGCTCCAGCGCCCACACTTGGTCGCCCCCCCTCTGACTCCCAAGGGAAAAAGTGGCCTGGAGCAGTCTAGCAGACGCCCTGAAATTCTAGTCGCTGCCAGCAGATTCAAGCAGTGAGTGGTAGAAACGGGCAAGGGAACGAATGGTCGCATCCTGCATATGCGCATAACCGCAAGCTTGACCAAGCGTCGAGGCACACGCCCCCCCTTGTTTCCTGGCTGTGCTGGACTGGGCTGCGCACGCCTTTGCCTGGGCCAAGCGGTGCTAAGCCTTCTTCTTGCCCAGCTTTGCATCTATCCCGTATTCGAGCTGAACTGGGCCCCCCCGTCGAGACTGCTTGTTACGTTCATACCGTTTGAGTTTACGAGCGGTACGGGGGATCTGGGCGTGCAAGGGACTTGGACGCTCGAGCTCTGATGCGGACGCCCGAACCTCGTAAACGGTTGGGGCACCTTTTGATGCATGCCGGGGCAGAGAAAGAGGACGAGATGCAAACAAGGAAACGAAAAAAAATAACACCACATCAAGAAGCAGCATAACAGTTGAGAGCGGCATACCGCCCCTCGGACCGCTCCAGCTCGGCTGCAGCAACAGGCCATGCAGGCCTCGCTCGCAACAGAAAGTGACATTTTATGGCTTCATGTTTGATCATTTCTCGATTGCACAAGGTTAGAGCGCACATGCATCAAAGCAACACGACTCTGCCGAGCCCACCCCAATCCCGCAGCAGCCGTCTTGCGCCGTCTCCGTTGCCCGAACAGACCAGAGTCCGGGCATGCAGTTAAGCACAACCTTTTTGCTGCAACACTCGTAAGGTATCTATCTAAGCCCCTGTCCCCTTCTTGTTCCCTTTAGTTGCAACAACTCCATCTCCAAGGGGGGGGTCCAGACGGGCATCGACGATCGGCCCTGCACACCTCCCTGGCGTGGATCGTTCCTTGTTGCCTTGCCTTGTTGGAACCGGAGACCCTATTTTTCTTTCTCTTGTCTTCTCTGCCTTTTTTTTTTTTGCTCTTCCCCTTCTCCAAGCTGGTTCCCTGTTTTTGCACGCCTCCCCTGGGCCAAGACCACGCCCACGCCCACACCCCCCTTCCCTTGCCCATCTGGCCCTACGACACACCTCCTATTGCTAGTACTTTAATCAAGGCCCATCCCTCCTTCGAGAAAGATATCCGCTACACAACTAGGACTGCTCGACATTCAGACAAGTTTCATCCTTTCTCAACTCTCGCTTTCCCACTCTTTCTTCATTCTTGCGATCTACAATAAAGAGGCAAAACGAAAAGAGTTCAACAAACAATCAACACCGCATCCACACGCAACAGCCAACTAACAACCACCGAATCGCCTCCCCCAACTCTTCCTCCACATCCCATCGACGGTTCTCTCTACCCTTGGAAGCCGTCCTTGCAACAACACGTCCACCATCGCCTAGACATCTATCTATCCCAACCAGTCTGAACTTCAGCAAACCCCCAAAAGATGCCCGCTGCCGCCCTCATCGCCAGCCACAACTTCGCCTCCGCCTCCTCTTCCGACTCCGACGTCTCCTCCTCCTCCGTCAGAATGGACGCCAACCCCCGGCCCATTGCCTCCGTGCTGGTGCTGCGCTGCATGCGCTGCGCTCGATCCGCCGAGACGACGACGACGGACGACGCGAGCACCGCCGGCATGGTGCGCATCTCGCACAACCTCTACTACTGCGAGCGGTGCGCCAAGCTCGTCGGATACAAGTAGAGCGTTTTGCCCCTCTTCTCGCCTCTTTTCTGTATCAGCAGCACACGCGCGAATACGGCATCTTTTCTCACCTGCATGAGCGACGCAGCCAGCTTTTTTTTTTTATCTCTTTTGACTGCGTCGTTGTACTTTATATTCTTCCCTTGGGAAGCGAGCAAACGATGCGGCAGCATAAACGAACCCGCCGCATTTCCATGGACCACAGGCGTCGCCCTCTACACACACGACTGGCCAGCCTGGTATTGCTACGCCCCCGAGGACAGCCATCGACGGTATCCGCCGGGTCAACGCATACACTTGATGCTGCCTGCTTTTCTGACAGATCGCAAACGCCGTCACCTGTCAAAAAAAAAAAAAGGCGAGCTCTCACCTGCATCCAGGGAGGATTTTGGCACTCCTTCTGCCTCCTCCGCTGAGGTCAGATGCCCTGCGCCCAAACGGCACAGATGACGCTCTCGAAGCCTGGCATTCTCTCGCTCTCTCTCTCGCTCTCTCACTTGGGCCCTTGCTTCCTTTCTCCTGGATCGACAACTGAGAAAACGGGCGCTGCCTTGTGAGAGTTGCTATCTTTATCCCGCCCCCCCCATGTCCTTCCCGCAACGGGCAGCCCCGCGAGCCCATGCCCAGGAAAGCAATACGGGATTCGTCACCCAGGGCGTCGGCTCGACGGTCAGCACTCTATGCGGCATAGCTCGGGTCGCGCAGCCGTTGGCTCCCATGGGTTGCGAGATCTGTGCAAATGTGCTCAGCCTGGCCGTCCAGTCTCGTCTTCGTCTGGCCCTTGGGGTCGGGCGCGACATGCTCGAGCGCCAACGAGCAACCTGGGCGCCAAAGCAGCGGATGCTACCGAGACGGACGTGGCTCCGGCTTGACCACAGCGTCGCTTTCGCTTCTGCGCGGCGCATGTGCGTGTCCCAACGCGATGCCACTTGACGCTCCCTCGTTCGTGCACTGCGCACATGCGGTGCTACCCGAGCGTCCCTGGGTGCAGAGAGGCAGTCGGCGCATGCACTCACACACGCGCACACACACAAGCACACGCACACGCACGCGCACACACAAGGCGCAGGGCCTCCTCGCTTGCACCGCTCCGTGGCTGGTCTGTCGAGTCTTGTCTGGCTTGCGCTGCACATGGGACGCAGCGCCAGCGCCCTCGCGCCCTCGCCCGCAGGCAAGGGCCTCCAATTGGAGCCTGCGGCATTTCGGCACATCTGGTCGGCGTTGGCCCTTGTGCGACGCTGATTCGACAGGCTTCGTCATTTTGTGACAGGTCGCTTGGGCCGGCCTGTCTGGGGAACTGGGAAGCACGACGGCCTCGACTCGACCTCGGGGGGAACATGCGAAACAGCGCCATCAAGCCTGACTATGAATGACGACCGCCGCGATGATTGATTGTATCATCGACCTTTTTTTTCTCTCGATTTGTTTGTTTTTTTACCCGCTTCATTCCCCCTTGGGTTTGCCGTTTCCCATCAGATACCCTTTGGCCGATCCTTGCAACTGTCGGCGGCCTTTCTCTTCTATTCAGCTCTTTTTCCCCTCGCTTCGGACCCGAAAGACTACCGACGACAAGCGACCAAAGGCCTGGCCCAGAAACGCCGTGTGCGACCAGTTCTGCTGTGCGACAAGGGTCTGCCTTAGTCCCTGGCGCCTCGAAGCAAGGGAAGGAAAAAAAAACAAGAGCATTCGCAAAAAGAGAGAGGAGAAGCGACCAGTGGGTTCCTTACGGGGGGTCCTGTTGGGTCTAGCCCGAGCAGCGCCTTGGCCTCTGCCCTTGGCATGCATCGTGCTGCTTGTCTCTCTCTTCTCTGCTTGGTCCCTTTTTCTTGCTTTCTTTCCGGCACAGCCACTGACGTGTCTATTACTTTTCTGTTGCACCTTGGTATTCAGTTTACACGCATTCTCTCTGCATGGCGCTGCGCGTCTAAGAGTGGCCTTTTCTTTTTCAATTTGGCGCTTTTTTTTTTCTTGGGCTGCATATGGTACGATGGGATGAAACTCGTGGTCTGGTGTCGGGATAACGGATCTCTTTCCTTCTACTTCATTTCTCATTCACTTCCTGTCCTTTGCGCGTGGTTCGCAAATGATTTGTTACCGAGTATTACCTTTTTTCGACCCTTTTCCCTTTGTTTCGCGTTTTTATCTATTTATTTATCTATTCCTGGTTGGGTTGGGAGGCACTTTGTTCAGGAAACACGCGATAGACGATGGGATTTTTGGAACGTTTTGTCTTTACTGGTTATTGGGATAGTATAGTGATACCACCGGCCTTGAGCCTTGCTTTTTCACGTCTTTAGAAATTCACAAATGTCATTATGATTACACACAATTACATGCACGCACGCTTATGATTCATTTTGCTGTGATATTGTGATGCCTTTTCTCCAATCTGGAATATGGAATAGAAATGAGGGTGCAGTCGAGTACTGATGGGAGAGGAAATGGGGAGAAATAGGCGCACTCGTTAGGTGAGGTGGCTTGGGTGCGGGCATGTGGTCTGGATTTGCGTAGCCGCGGCTAGAACCTGTGGGATGATGGATACCTAGGTACTTACCTGCCTAGGTACCTAAGGTGCTGTATGTACTATTGGGTCAGGTCTTGTGTCTATTTCTCGTGAGAGCTTGTTTGCATTGGGGTGTTAGGATGAATCTGAGGTATTAGGCGCTGTCATTTCTTTTGCGCGTCGAGTCGGGTGCGTTTGTGAGTGTAGTGCTTGGCTTGGCTTGGCTTGGCTGCGTTTATAGAGAGGTGTTTATGTGTGTGTTGTGTGTGTGTGTGTGTGTGTATTGTAGGTATCTTTTACTGGATAGACAGGCGAGGCGTGTAGATGAACTGACACACTGATTGACTGACTGATTAACTGATTGACTAGGTTATCTTGGCTGGCTAGGTAGCTAGCTAGTAGGCAGACAAATAGTCAGTCTTTTTTATATGTATTTTTTATTATTACTTTAGCTTTTATTTTAGAGTATTACTATTAGGGCACTATTAGATTGCTATTTAGGCACTAACTAACCTAAATTAGCTTAGATTTTATTTACACTATACTATACTATATAAATATAATGCAGGGCTATAGCACCTTTAAAGTTAATACTAGTAATCTTACTATAGCCTTAAAAATACTAAAACACTAAGATATTATTATTATTATTATTATTATTACTATTATTACTAAAAGCCTTAATTAATTATAATAAAAGCAGTAAGCTTTAAAGCTAATAATTAAGCTGCTTATTAAAATTCTTATCCCTTACTGCTACTACTGCTATTATTATTACTGCTTTAAAAAGCTTCTGCTTATTAAATCCTTTTACTGCTACTATTATAATAATTTAACTTATTTAATAACCTTTATGCCTTCCTTTAAAGCTTTTATTATAATTATAATGCTGCCTTTATAAAAAAGCAGGCTAGGAATTATATAATTATTAATAGTAATAAAATCTTAACTTACTACTCTTTTATTTATAATTATAAAGCCTTATAGCTAAGCTTAAGTGCTAAAGTTAAAAAGTTAATAATAGTAAAGCTTAACTATTTATTTAAACTTATAGCTTTAGCTAAATAAAGCTTTAACTAAAAGTAAAGCTTTAAAGTTTTTAAAGGTTAATATAATTATAATAAGACTAGTAATATATTAGCTTATATAATTTATTACTATTATATAAAGGTATAGAAAAAAGCTAAAAAGTTACTATTTTTTTTAAAAAGCCTTTAATACTTAAAAAATAAAAAATATTATTTATATACTAATTAGTAAAAAAGGCTTATTTTTTTACTTAAAGGATATTTATAATAATTAGCAGGCTATTTATTAGTTAAAGCTTAATAGCCTTACTTTTATATAGCAGTAAATTAAAGTTTTAAAAAAGGAAGGCCTTTACTATATTATTTAGTATTATAATAATAAGCCTAATAAGGTTAAAGTAGTTTTTTAAATATACTTATATTATAAAAAGCAGTAAAAGTAATTTCTAAAAGTCTTAAAAATAAATAATACTTATAAAATAAATAGGTTTAAAATATATTTATTTTAAGTAACTAGTATTATAAATTAGTATTTTATAACTAACTTTACTTTTAGTTTTATAAATAGTAAAAAGTAGCTAACTTATAAATAAATTTATAATTAATTTAATGCCTTTTACTATTAGCTAAAGATTTAGTTACTTTAAGTTATTATTATTAATAAGGAAAATATATTAAAAAATATACTTAAGTATATTTTTTTAAATACTTAATAGCAGCTATGCCTTTTTTATATTAATATAAATATTAATAAAAAGATAACTATATAATAAAAGGATTTTAATAATAAGGCTACTAGTAGTAATAAGGCTAGTAATAGTAATATATTTATAAGCAGCCTAGCTACTAACCTTAATACTAATAAGCTTAATAGCCTTAGCCTTATTATAGCTATAGCAGTAGTATAATTAAGTATTAGGCCTTTTTATAAGAATAATAAGAATAGCTTTAAATAAGTATAATAATTAGTTATTTATACTAATATTAAGAAAGACTATAAAATAGCTTAAGCAGGGCTTATTACCTATTTTAATATATAGCAGTATAAAATAATTAACTATATTATTTTTAAGTATCTCTTTTTAGCTAATTAATTCTTATAATACTGCATTAAGTAATATTATAACTTTAAATAATAAACTAATAGCCTTATAAAAATAATATATAAAGATATTAAGTTATTTCTTTTAATTAAGACTAGTAATTTATATTATTTTTATAAGGTAATTATATAAATACTAGTTAAAAAGAAATATAACTATAAGTAAATAGCAGTTAAGGAGGAAATAAAGCTATGCTATTAATATATTAGCAGGGACTAGCTAAGGCAGCTTTTAATAAAAGTTAATTATAAAGCTATTAAATAACTTATATAAAAATACTATTAGGCTAAGGCTATAATATTAAAAAAGAATAATAACTTAATACTTTATAAAATAACTTATACCTTTATATAGTAATATGCCTTACTTTATATATACTATTTATAAAAAAATATAATTAAAAGTAATAAGGTTTTTATTAAAAAGCTAGTTTATGCCTACTAGTAGCTAAATAAGCTATTTATAAGTTTCCTTTTTATTTTATATAAAAAACTTACTAACTTAATATTATAAAATTTCCTAAAGCCTTTTTTTTAAATTTATAATTTTAATATTATTAAAAAGTTATATAGCTAGCCTTAACTTTTTTAAAATTATAAGCAGCTTATTAATATATATTTATAGCTAATTATAAACTTAATAATAGCTTTAATATAATAGTAGGTATTATAACTAGCTTTAATACTGCTATTACTGCTATTACTACTAACTTTAACTTAAGGTATTTAGCGCCTAGGCTTAAGTCTTTATTAAATATATACTATAGCTAAGATTAAGGCAGAAGTAACTTAAGCTAGCTAATTATTTATATAACTATTTATATAGCTATTTATAAAGCGCTTATAAATATATATAAATATTAAGGGATAAGGAGTAAAAAGGGGATAAGGCTATAAATATAATAGCAGCAGCAGTATTAAAGCTATATATTTAATAGTAGCGCCTTTATCTTTTACTATTAAGGAAGTTATTTTAGTAACCTAGTTAAAGGCTATAAATTAATTAATAGGCTGCAGTATAAATATATATTTAATTTAATAAAAAATGCATTTTTTAAAGGAATTAATTAATAAGGAATTTCCTTTTTTATAATTATATATAGTTTTTAATTATTATAGTATATATTATAAATTAGCAGGGCGGTATAGCGCAGATAAAATCTAAGCTAATTTAGGTTAGTTAGTGCCTAAATAGCAATCTAATAGTGCCTTAATAGTAATACTCTTGTTTTAGAGGGGGGGGGCGGCATAGGATATATAGCAGAGGTGCGTTTAGGGCGCTGGCTGGATGCATGTGCGAGGGGAGAGGTACGTAAGGTATGTGAGGTAAAGAAGTATGTATGTATGTATGTATGTTTAGTAGAAGATATTTTTTTTTTTGTTATTTGTTACACGTCTCTTTTTTTCTGTCTTTTGGATGATAAAGGGCGTCTTTGTCATGCAAGAGGGTTCTGCGGTGTGACGGGTTTGAGAAGGCCTACATATGTACATACTTGCACTCTACATGTTTGTATGCGTTATGCGTGTGCGTGTGTGTAGGAGCTTAAGCCTTGTTCTTGCGTTTGTCTTTTAAATATTCAAAGTGTTGTAAGGTACCTAGGTTTTGAAGAATAGGTATGGGCTGTAAGACGAGAGAATTGGGAGCTTGGAGACGATTGGATGATATTCAGTGTAGCCATGTGCAATATATGAATGGACAGTGAATAGGTGTAGGCATGCCAAGGGACGAATAAGAAGGGAAAGGAGCGGAGATGCATTGCGCGCATGTAGGACTTTCTTGGGTTCTTGGGGAGGCACGGCGTCGGATGACATGGCTGTGGCATGGCATGGCATGGCATGGGGTTTGTGTGGCTTTTGGGGGGAGGGGGTCTAATATCGTCTGTGGCACGAAGAGATGTTGTGCGAGTCTGCAATGAGACACTACTAGTCTATGGGCCAGGGGGACGCAGCATATAATGGGACATGGGATGGGACGTGAAGGGTCGTACGTATGTATGTAGGACATGGGGGGAGTCGAGCTCCAGCGGTTGTGCCGCGGGAGACGCTGCGATGCGATGCGATGCGATGCGATGTAAGGCGCCTGCGAGAGCTACGTGGATGGCCTAGACTTGTGTGCTTCTTGATGCCTTGTCTGATGGGTGCGTGCTGGTGGGGGGGTTTGTTGAAGTGTCGGGTGCTTTTGTGTAAGGCGATATAGGCGAGGTTATTGGGTTGAAGGACCTGGGATGCTGGCTGTTGCTGATGCGTGAAATGAGTTGTCTTTCGTTTCTTCTGAGGGCGGTCTTTGATGTGGAGGTGCGTGAGACGACGAGGCTCTGTGAAGTAGACAGTTCACCAGGCCTCAGTTAGACACGAATTGCAGCTTCATTCCATTGCTCTCTGTCAGGTACACAAGGTACCTACCCCGGTACCCATGAAGGACGGAGGCAATGCATAGCACGCCTGGAAACTCAGTGGACCTTGTTCTTCTTTTTCTTCTTCTTCTTCTTCTTCCCTTGTCCTCTCCGACAGTGAGGCTTTCTTATTACAAGTTGTTTTCTTTTTGATATATATGATACATCAACCGCGCCAGAGGAGTTGTCGTCGGGAATAAACCACCGGCGGAGCGACTCAGCCCGTTTCTGCTCGCTGACTCGGGTGATTTTCTTGAGAATCCTTGATGCTGGTGTTACGGAAAAGGGCAGTATTATTACTTCAAGCAGCAGGGGACGGCTAGAGAGGCTTACGAATGGAACTGACATAGGTTGGCTTTAACTTCTGTTTTGCCTTCATCTTGCCCCTGCGGATGAGGAAATGGCGGCCTTGTATGTTAGGACGGACTGGGAATGCAGCATATACGGTGTCATGTTCTCAAGCTCTGAGTAGCGGAAGGGGGGGTTTACGGCTGAGGATGTCTGTGAGAGTTGGGAGGTGCTTAATTACACATGCTGAGGCATGGCTACATACTGTGGACTGGGAGCTAAAGGAGCTAAAGAGAGCTGTTCCTGGGGCTATTGGAGCGTTGGCTGAGCTTGGAGCAGGTTCTGGGGCGGGTTTGAGCTTCTTCCTGGGAGGACATTGCAGATCGGGCTTGGTTTACTCCGGGGGCGCGTTGTTGAAGCTGTAGATTACGCAAAACAAACCAAATTGTTTATTTCTCTCCGCTGTTGTCTCGTAACTGTAGATACTAGGGGAGCGCAGAAAGGATAGGGATACTGCTCCGTACACGCAACAGCATTGCGCCAAAGGCACAGCGTCTTCCCGTTGTGATGGACATGTGAGTACATTTCATCTGGACTTACACGGGTAAATCGTCGATCAGCCCGGATCTAGGATCAACCGCCTTGGCTGCCTCTCTTCCCATGCTGTAGATTCCCTTTTCCAAGCTTCTTACTAACCTCGTATCTTCATAGAGTCAAGTCAACTCATACTAAATCAAATTACTATATACGGGCAAAATCAGGGACACCATGGCGCGAGATCAAGGGTAGTACTGTAGTAATAGCAGCCTCACACACACTCCGTATCCTCTTCACGCGGGGGAGCTGAACGAAAGGATCCTGATCCCTCCTCCTCCTGCTCCTCCGCCTTCTCACCCCCTCCAAACGGGGCATCTCCGTTGGCGCAAACACACACATTGCTCAGTGCAGCAATTCCGTCTGCCGAGAGACAAAAGATGCATAAAGGATGGATGGGGGGGGGGGGGGGGGGGGGGGGAGCGTAGCATCGGATGCCGGGATGTTCTACAGTACGTACGCGATCCGGAGCCTTGCGTTTTGGTCGGGCTCGCTTGCGGAAGATGCGAGGCTGGGTTCCTGAAACTGAGCTGATCATGGCGCCCTTGATAAGTCGAGCCCAAGGCAAGGGGTGAATATTAGAATGCCTGCCTGTTTTTGTCTTCCTTCTCGAATTTATTGGCACCTAAATCGATCCCGATGCCTAGCTGCACATGTCCTCGTACGAGCATCAGTCCAGTAGGTAGTACTAGCTCTAAAGCCATGCACGGTTCTTCTCGTGCAATCGCGGACGGTGGACGAGGCTGGGGGATATGTGCCCTAGCAGCACATGTGCAGCCTGGTCGTTTTATGGCATTGAGACCCCCTCGCGGGCGTGTATTTGCATCTCCAAGGGCAAAGCTGGCCGCGGCAAGACCCAAACCGGGCAGCGCATAAGAAAGAACTGAAGAAGATTACCTAGTGCTACTACTATGTGTGTAGGACGATGAGGGAAGAGGATTCGGAGTCGCAGTCCACATGACCCCCCGTTGCGGGATGGCACGATCCGTCCAACCTCCTCAGCAGATGCGTGTATCAGGTATAGAACCCACGTACAGTATTAGCAGCACGAAGCCAGAAAAGCAAATGCCGCTGAGCTGCGTGCATGACATGGCGAGAGACAAATACTAGGTACATAGGCCACTCTGCACGCAATCTCGTGTTCATCATTGGCCCAGAAAGGGCGCCGTAAGTACTACATGTATCGTAGGTATGTACGCATGGCGCGAGTTTCCGGATTGGACGGATATTGCCCCTTCGTCGTCCTCGCAAAGCTTTTAGCGGCCAGTGATGTGCAGCCGCGGGATCTCGAGTCCCAGTCCCCTCTCTCCTTCATTCGAAGCTGTGGCTTTTTTCTTACTTGTGAGGTATTATGCATGTACCCGATTGTTCAATTCTAGGTTGGGATGCCTGGTGATTATCAGGGCGCTGTGCGCGGCAAAGCTAGGCGGAGAGGAGGCTGCAGGGAGTACATCCGTGCCTGGGGAGGCTGGGGGACCGGGAGGAGGATTACTGCTGCTGTATTTTGTTCTGACTGGGGGTGAGGGGGGAACATTTAATCCACATAGTTTTGTCAATACATACTGCTCGGGTTGTGGGAGGGGCTTTTTGGCTTTGAGGGGGAGCTGGAAGTGTAGATTGAGGAACAGGATGATGAGGGCTCGAGGATGGGTCTCCAAGATAATATGGATGGCGGTCGGTGTGTATACCGCTTTTGAGCGTTGATGAGGGTTTAAGTTGACCAGACAAGGCATGGGATATTCAGCAAGCAATTGTCAAAGGGCAATGCTCGGCACCGCCAAGACGACAACGTCCAGCCATCTTCTTCCGGTAAAAACACGCACCTCATATATACGAGCAGCTCGTAGCCCTGATCTGCCTCGCCGACTTCAGTGTAAGAGCATCGCAAACAGCCCAGCACAACCAGGCAACGTAATATATGGGAGGCGCCCGGCAGGAAAGGAGAAGCCAGAGAGAGAGCTGAAAAAGAAAAAGCGAGCGACGACACAATTGCAGGCTGGGGGATCGTCCGCTACCGCCTTTTTAGATGCACTGGGTCCCCCCTCCCCTGTCATTACGGAGCTCCCCAGGACGGCTATTTCCGCAGCGAGTTGCCCTCAAATCGAGCATAGTCCGTTCTTGTCTGCGAGCATCTTACGAGTAGTAATACAACTCCATACCGTTCTGTGCTGTGCAGGGGGGGAGGAAAAGAGAGACATGGGGTAATATGGCAGGGGGGATGATGGTAGGCCCAAGCTGGCGGGCGTCGAGTGTAGGAGCCGAGCGAGGCAGTGGTGTTAATAATAGCAAGCTGCTCGTGTGCTGCTGCAGCTGGGAGTCAGTATACTGAAAATAGGTACCGAGAAGGATCAAGACATGATAATAGTACTGTACGATATGGTAAGGTAGGGAAATGGAAGGATGAAGCTCTGCGGAGACTTTGGTAACGCAGCGACGGGACTTGCGTCCTCATCAAGTTTGATGAGAAATGCAATGCACACACCCTTCCTTGCCTCCCCGCATATTGGCGATACACGTCACATTCGCGTCGAGCCGTTATTTTTTTGTGACGGCCCGTTCCTCGATTGTTGCGGTCTTGGTTTTGGATTATGTAGGTCTCTGTATCAATGTAAGTTGAAGGGTCTCGGCGAAGGTCGTTTCTGATAATTAAGTGTCGCTTGCAGGGCTGACGACTTACACCGGTTCTGCCAGACGCTACACGGTCATCCCTTGTGTTTTACTCCGCATCGCCTTGGTTTCCCTTGTAAGTAATTGTCGTGAATGTCTTGTATGTAGCTTGCCAGATTCATGACAGTTCAGTCAGCGTTGCCTTCAGACCACACGCGGCTTTGGCCCTTCGTCCCCCTATAACATCCATAGACTTACATCTCGCAGCCTCACCCTGTCCATCCTCAACCCCAGACCTGTCACCACCGCTCCTTGAGATGCAACTTTTCCTCGAGCTCTTTTCCTCGTCTGTCCTTGGATATATGTAATATACCCATGGGGGGTCTGTTATCCAATCGCCAACGTCCATCAAGGTCCCCCCAAATTCCTCATCACCCTTTCAAAGCTGCACCCTACGATACTACGCAAGTTCTGTACCCCCTGGTCAATGGCCCATCGCAATATCCAGCACACGCCCAGACGCGCGATATGCATCTACTCGCCCTGGCCCGATCGTTCCCGTCGAGCCGAGACGACAATCGCTGTTTCACCCTCCAATTTTCCCCTCATTTTGGACTTGCTTGCTACTACCTACTACAAGGAAAAGGTGGTAATGATACATTGCCTTTCTGCATCTGTGCACAACACTGTACAAGCCTGCTGCGGCGATGCTGCGCTTTTTTTAATAATGCCGTGAATAGCTCTGTATTAAACCGATATGTGCAAGGCTTCATAGAACGGAGCAACTGTCGCCGCATCTTGTTCGTTCCCCCTGTGGTTGTTCATCACCCATCATTTGATGGCTTGCCCGGAATAGCTTCATAGCCGTCCATGGACATGGACTTCTGCCCAAGCACGCCTCGAAAAAGGCAGCGCTCAACCACCGCCAAACCGCACCAGCATTCATATAACCAGTATTCCCTACTCCATCCATCCACTCATTCATCCGCCCTCAAGACAAGCCCAATCTGTATGTAGAACCCGCAAAGACCCCTGCTCATGCACCAATCGTCCTGTGTCGTCATCATCATCATCGTAAACCCCCAAGACACAAACCGGCTAACCCCCCCTCTCCTCCCTTGCTTCCCTTCTCCACAGCTAACCTCTTCCTCCTCTTTTTTTTTTTTTTATCTTTTATCTCCCCCTACGTTCACGATGCTTGGCTAGAGTATTCATTTGTTCATTTCATCGTTCTAAAAAAACCCCGCTCTCACACGCCCTCTCTCCACTGGACTTCTTATTCTTCTATTTTCCCCTCCGTATGTCTGATATCATCGTGCAGCCGACGGTGTCGTTTTTAGGCTCAAATGCTCCTATACCCTAGCTTGTTAGCTGCCCAGGTCTCTCGTCTTCTCCACGACAGCAGAGACATACAAGTATTACCGTCTAAGTTGCAACAATGAGGGTATGTAGTATTACCAAAAAGAGGAGATCAGAGTGAAGCTTTTCCGTACCGTTTGTTGCGTCGCATTTGCAGAAACGGAATTCGTATAAGCATGGGTGTCTGTTGATGAGGGGCGCATGCAGTCCACCGCTCGCTTTCCTTGGTTCTGACTTTGTACGATGTTTTATTTTTTTTTTCGATTTTTTTTTTTTTCAAGGTGATGGTGGTTGGCTTACACCACTTATTGACACTTGTTTTGTCTCGGTATAAGGATCCGTTTTGGACGTTTGATCGGCAAACGGACGACTTGGATGATTACCTACCTACCTAGTACATGCATGATGTGATTTTTGGACGTGTTGTTATCTTGTCTGCGTGATTTGGCATGTCATCACGACTTCAGGGCGCATTATACGAGGTTCACGAACAATACCGTCTTTGTAAGCTCAGACAGGCGATCTCGAAAAGTAGTAGCAATCATCGTGACCCGCCTCGGCCTGTCGGACGAGCCTCGTTTTCTCTCATTCTCTATTCCAAAGCACGTGTTAATCACTGCTTCGAAAGACAACACGACATAAAATCTCCGTCATGAACCAAATCTCCAAAACCCCGATTATCAACTATCCAACAAACTGCAAATCCACCCCCATGAAACCCATAAACCCTTGACATGCTTCTCCTCCATATCATTACTACATCTTCCTCCAAAAACCGGGTCTCACGATCTTGTATAACATCACCTCACATTAGACTTGACAAGTGCAAACGCCGGGCGTATCCCTAGCTGCTCCTCCCCCCCATCGAACCTCAAGGGTCCCCTCCCTCCCCGGAATCATGCCATGCCCCAATGATGAGATGATGCATGCACCTCCTGTTCTCAGCTCATATGTCATGCACTACATCATTCTGAAAGCTGAACCCCAAAAAGGTGCATGAACCATGGAAAACGCTCGGTACCTACGTCGTTTGGCAGGACGGGCCTTGCTTTAGCTTGCGTAAGGGGGGGTCTTTTCTGCAATGGGCATGGGAGGAGGACGTCAAGGGAGGGGGTGCTGGGGGTACAAAGGGTGGTGTGTGCTACCTTAGAACCAAGATCAGGACGAGATTCGGGAGGGGAGACCGTTGTCGATCATGACGATGGTGGGAAGACGAAACCGTTTTTGATCTTGTTGTGTATGTATGGCATTGAGTGTTTGGCGATATTCGTACATCGTGATGCAAACCTAGCTTTGACGCAATGTCGACAGTGTCCCTCCTATGGCTGATATCCTGATACGGCCTGCTAAAACGCCTTTTGCTTCATCGCCTATGCTGTCCTCCGTGTTGTGTTTGAATCAATGCTTCACGTAGCTCATAACTGTATGCAGGGCCGTCTGTGTTGCCATGAAGACTCTCGTTTAGGTGCCTTCTTTTGCGAAAGGCGTCAACAGTAATAGACACCGTCTATCCCTCCATCTTGACATCAGCCTCCTTGCCGAGATTCTTCAGCAGGTAGCTCCGCTTAAAGTACTCGTTGGGATGCACAATTGTTTCCAGCTGGTTGGCCGTCATGACGCCTTCATCCTTGGCCTTTTTGATCTCGGCCTTGTGCAAGTGGTCAAACACGCTGAGTCGGGTTAGCTCTCCGTAGCAGTTGTGAACCCCCCCCCCCTTGAAAGGGATCAAGCAAAGGTTTAAAGATTGGACGTACCGGTTGCATGCCATGTGAAACTTTTGATTATCCTTGTCTTCCTTGATGCCCTGCAGCACCGACCGATCAGTGACCCCCATGGCTTGCACCAAAGAGGTCAAGTTCTCCAAGTTGAAATGCCGGTACGGGCACCCGTGCGCCTCGCCAGGCCCCGGAGGGTGCTCGGTGAGAATCTTCTGACAGCTAAACGGGCTGTAGCCGCCGCCTCGCCGATTCGAGTCGCCGCCAACGTCGCCGTATGCGTGCCGGATGTTGTACCGGTATTCCTTGTTGAACGTGTCGTCCGTCACCTTGTGGAAGGCGCCGCGCCAAAAGGCCAGACACTCTTCCAGGTTCAGGCCGATGCCCTTGAGGAAGAGCGTGTACTGGAGACGGCCGTAGTGCTTGAGGTGGGCGTCGCGACGCAGCGACCGGTGCAGGTTGGACATGCACGCCGGGAAGTGCTGTGAGAGGTTGTCGATGTTGGCGGCCGAGATTTGGGCTCCGGCAGGCGCTGTAGAGCCGGAGATGTAGGACGCGTCGGGAGTGATGAAGTTTTTGGAGAGGTGGTTGAGGATGGGCGTTAGTCGGTCGTCTTCGTCCAGACGCGGCAGTGCTCGTGCTGTGAGCTGTTTGGACACTTGTCAGTTTCATGAAGCTTGAAACAACTCTGCGGGCAGGGATTCATTCACCTCTAGTTGTCTTTCAAGCCGGCTTGTAAACTCCGCCACCACCATGCTTGACTGCTCTCGCCCGGGCACATACGCCTTTCCGGCTTTCAGGAACACCCTCCGACTCTCCACCAGATCGGGCACTCGCTCCCAGTCCACCTTGAACCACGTCTCGTCCTCGCTGCTCGTCTTCTTGCCGCTCACCATGGCCTCCAGCTCGGCGCCATACCGCCTCTTCTCGTCGTCCGTCACGGGCTCCCACCAGTCGAGGTCCAGACTGGAAACGAACGCGGCCCGCTCCTTTAGATCGTCGCTGTTGAATCGCAATCGGAACAGCATCGTCTCGACGCGGGCAAATCTCCGGCGGAGGTCCTCGGTGGACGAAAAGGCTAGCCTCAGGATGAAGTGGCTGTAGTGGTCTTTCTGGCGTTGGGAAAACAGCAGCTTTGCGTTGCTGGAGCTGTTGGAGTCGAGCGGCAGGTATTTGTCGAGGATGGGCTTCATGTGCGATGCCGTCTCTGCGGGCGACCGGTTGCGAAAGGAGCACGCCTCGAGCTCGGCCAGGACTGGCAGGGTCAGACATGTTTGCGCGGAAACGGACACTCGAGCTTCAGTTACCTCGTAGTCGGTCAATGGCCCACTGCTCAAACTGCTCGAGGGTAATGTCTGCCGTCGGGGCATCTGCGTAGAAGTTGAGGCGATGGGGATACTGCGTGTCCTTGAACTGGGGCGTGGCAAACTGCTTCTTGCGGTAGTCGACGACGCTGCGCCGCTTGGGGTCGATTCGATTGGGGTCTTGTCGCATCATGGCTGCTGTGTGCGGATGTGACTGTTGAAGCTGTGCTGTCACTGAATCCGTTTGGTGTTGAGATGGATTTGGCGGGTGAGAAGGACTTGAGCGTGAGAGACGCGACTTGACGCGTCGACACGTGGGGCAGAATCAATTAAAACCCATGGCGGCGGTACCTGATGCCGCGCCTCGATTGGCGCTAGCGCTAGGTACCGGTCATCAACACCAGAAATTGTTTTCACGGCTCACAGCCTGCCAGTTGAGAGCAGGTCTATCAATTGCTCCCAAGGTAACACGTAAAATTCGTTCAATTGTAGCCTAGGTCGCCCTGAACTGAATATATTACGGGACTATTCGCCTGCTGTTCGATATATCTACCTCTGTCTTTACTCTATTACATCATACGTGGAACTCCTTTACCAAGGGTCATGCGAGCATTTCGAGAGTGCAAACTCCACGTCAATCTCATCTCGAATCACAGGAAACCCTTGTCCGTCACAGCCAGACATTGACTACATATACCAAGACTCGCCCCAAGGTAAACATGGGTGGTGACACTCGTTATCTGGAACCGTTAATGTCGCTTGTCCATCACAACTTAGTAACGATTCGGCATCCGGCCTGATCAAATGGCTACAACCAGGCCAGTTCAATGCAAAAGAGTCACGCACGGCACACGTTCGTTTCCCCTAAAAAGGGAAGCCGCGCGAAATCGCAGGAGGACCGTAGAGAGCGCAAAGTGCAGCGTGCAAGCGGTGCCCCAAGCAAAAGAATGGCCGAAACAAAAAGAAATGAATCCATCTTCCGTAGAATTGGATTCGGATCTCGTGACCGAGACAGGGGTCGAACCTGCAACCTCCTGATGTACTTAATCGTAGTCAGACGCTCTGCCATTGAGCCACACGGCCATTGAATTGTGGCTGAAGGGAAGGCCCAATTGCTCTAAGAACCTTCATCGAAGCGGAATTGCCAAAGAAAAGAAAAGAGAGAAAAGATAATAGAAGGCTCCACTGGAGGTGGGAAAAAAAGAAGACATCCAACTTGGCGCTGGATGATGACGATATCTTTGACCGAGACAGGGGTCGAACCTGCAACCTCCTGATGTACTTTTCGTAGTCAGACGCTCTGCCATTGAGCCACACGGCCGGGATCTTGTCACGTGGAGTTGGGATGCTAAAGCCACTCATAGAGCAGATGAGAGCGGATCCCGGCGGCTGCAGAGTCTCTGAGTGGCTCAGCAGGTTGCATGCCCCGTTTTTCGGCGAGTCCACTTGTTCGCCAGAGCCGATGCACGTTGTGGCTCTGCTGGAGGGATGACGTTATGCGCCCGACTTGCTGCAGCGATATGGCGATAAGCCGATTCCGATGCGGATGTCGAATCACATGTGCTGCATCACGCTGCGATGCTTTGCTTTGCTTGATGGCTTGCTGATGCTTGTACCAGAGAGTTTCATGGGCATCTCAAGATGCTTCTTAAGGTGCTCCTGTAATATAGTACAGTAAATAGCTGAAGATGAAGATCCCCATTCCCCGTGGGCCCCGTGGTTGCAAGCACTCGCACGCACAATCCAACCCAGTACTTTATGTAACGTACCGCCCGCGCCGCTTCGGGCTAGCGCCGGCCCTGCAGCGCCCTCAAGCCCTGTAGCCTCTGCTGGCGCTCGCCCTATGGCTGCGGTGGAGACGCCTTGTACCTGCTACACGCTTCTGTACATGAACAGGGAGCAGACCCGCAGGCATGTCATGCGCCTCGCTTGTACCCGGAACGTCGACGCTGGATCGGACTGAGCCAACGTCGTTCCAGCTTCGTTGACTCTTCGCGACAACGACTCGCAGAAGCCTCAACGCCTGCTCTGCTGCTCCATCGCCGCCTGCTGCTCTCTTCCACCCGCCCGCAGAGGCACCACGTCGAAGCCTAGATGTCACCGCCATAGCAGAGCGCCGCCGCTCTCCTGCCCTGCCCTGCCAAACCCCTCACCTCGCGACCTCTCCCTCGCGACGCCCTGCTTCGCCTTGCCTTGGCCGCACCGCGTGCCTCGTGCCTCGTTCCTCGCCCTTCGCCTTCCCGCCCGAAGCCGACCGTCCTCGCCTTTTCATACCCGTCGGGTCCGCGGCTCCAGGCGACATTGACCATCACCGACGCGGCCCGCAACCGTCTAGCCGTACGTGAGCAGCCCTGGAGATACCCTACCTGTTCTGAGTCGCATTTGTGATGGATGCTGATGCTCTTGTTGGATAGGCTTCCAGACAGCCATGAGCAACGCTCCGTACTTTCCGCCTTCCTCGATATCCCACGACCGCGGCTCCAATGCCCCCTCGACGGCAAGCTCTGACAACCTCGATCCGACCCCGAGTTCCAGCTGTCATTCCGAGTCTGGCATCCGGCCCAACCCCCAACACAACGCGCCGGCACATGCTCCAGATGACCAGCTAGCCTTGTCAACCGCTGCCTCTGCCTCTACGTCTGCCGGCTGCAACCCTGCGTCGTTTGTCAGCTTTCAGTCTACAACCACTGCTCCATCGCCTCCCGTCCAGTCTGCTCCTTCTGAAGATGCTGCTGCTCATCACGACAGAAGCTCGGTAGATGCTGGCGCCTCTCGCGGCGATGCCTATTCATCCCTTCGCATCTCCACCAACGTCGCATCTTCTTCCTCCACAGCTTCCCCTTCCACTTACCATCGCGAGTCCCCGACTGGTTATACAAGTCTCTCGCCTATCCGTATACCCTCGCCTCTGAACCACAAGTCGTCTTCCAGCAGCATACGCCTGTTGACGCGGACCCCGAGTCTCAAGGCTGCCCTCGCGCACTCGATTGGGCCTGCTAGCGGTACCAACAGTGTCATCTCGAGTCCCATGATTGCCGCCATGGGAGACGTGACGCCCTTGCCGAGTCCCCTCTTGTCAGGAGAGTCGCCTGGCCCGTGGAAGAGGTTGGCGGTGGGCTCTGTGTCGCCGCCTCAGCACCGCAGTTTGTTGAGCAGTGTGGGAGAAGACTTGGCGGCCATGGGGGCGCCGGTAGGGCCGATCAAGAACCCGAGCACGACGGCGCCTTCCTCGAGACGCAAGGCATACGCAAGCCTGACCGAGAATGACGAGGCTAAACAGCCCTTACACAAACCTTCCCAGCAAGCCCAGCAAGCCCAAGTGCCGCATACGAGAAACCGAAGCTTCAGCGAATACAAGCCAGATCCGGCTGCCATTCCTAAGAGGATCGTCTCCGTGTCTGGCCCGCACGCCAAACCCGAGCTCCAAGGTGCCCATATGAAGAGGGAGCAGAACCTGGCAGAGTCGCGCGGCCTGTCTCCCAGTGTTGCGAAGCCGCCGACGCCTCCTCCTAGTGAGAGTTCGAGAGACTCGGCCGACGCCGCCTCGACGTCGCAGTACGAGTACTTTGAAGCCTACGACCGCCATGATCGGAAACGGAGGCGCTGGCGCTCGGTGCGGACCGTGGGCCAGGGCACGTTCAGCAGAGTCGTGTTGGCTACCAGTCAGATGGACCAGCCCAAGCAGACGTCTGCCGATCCCCCGCTTGACCGAAAGACGTTGGTCGCCATCAAGGTGTGCGAGCATGGTCCCCAGGGAGGAGCCAGCGAAGAGCGCGTGGAGATGAGTCTCAAACGAGAGCTCGAGATCATGCAGAGCATCCACCATCCCAGTCTGGTCAACCTCAAGGCATGGAACATTGAGCCTACCAGGGCAATTCTTGTTCTGACATACTGCCCCGGAGGAGACTTGTTTGACGTCGCTACAGCTCATCGCAAGCTGCTGACGCCCCCATTACTGAGACGCATCTTTGCCGAACTGGTCGGTGCTGTAAAGTACCTCCATGACCAGATGATTGTTCACCGTGATATCAAGCTTGAGAGTAAGTGCCTGCAGCGGCAGATACATGAATCCTGCTAACGCCCACTCTAGATGTCCTTGTCCATCTTACACCCAGCGAGCTTGCCGACCCATCCATTAACTGGAGCACATATCCGTATCCAGTCATCGCATTGGCTGATCTGGGCTTGTCTAGACGGATAGCCGAAGACGAGAAGCTCGAAACGCGCTGCGGATCGGAAGATTATGCTGCTCCCGAGGTCATCATGGGCCAACCATACGACGGCCGTGCCACTGATGCGTGGTCGCTTGGTGTGCTGCTCTACGCACTCCTTGAATCCCGGCTTCCATTCGATCCTCCCCCGGGACTACACGACTCCCATAGAATGCGTAGTCGAAAGAGCCACCGGATTGCGAGAGGCGAGTGGCGTTGGATCGAATACGGAGGCGACGACGGCGACCACGAAGCGAACGAAGCACGCTTCAAGGAAAAGGGCCTGCTCGACGCCATGCACATCACGGAAGGCCTTCTTAAGCGTGCTCGAAGTCGGTGGACATTGCCCCAAGTGTTGGCCACGCCGTGGGTGCGAGATGCCATTGCCGTCGAAGGCGGCATCCGTTTCAGAGAGGAGATTGGGGGAGCCGAAGTGTGAGCAGCAACTCGCTGTGCTTTCTTATTATTACCCAACGCATCCGGTCCCTGTCAGCAGAGGCAACCAGACCGAAAACAACTTTCCTGGTCTTTCTTTCTATGGCGTGCTGCCTCTTTCTCGGCTAGACGGCCTATAGTCTCGACGTCGGCCTCTTTTCTTTTTCTTTTTACTTCTTCTATCTCATTCTCACTTTTGTTTCCTCCCGGCATCAGGCCTAAACTAGTGCCAGTTTTCCATTTTCACGCGTTTTTTTGTTCTTTCTATATCAACCACGGAAAAGGGACAGAAACCCCATCGATCAGGAGTTATAGGGGCGGTAGAGGGCGAAAGAAATTATCGCACGGAACACACCTGAAGCTCTAGGAAATGAAGCAAGGTTGCGAGGATTTACAAGAGATCCGTGCGATATCTCGTATGGTTGGCTCTTGTAGCGGGGGAAAGGAGCGAGTTCGAGGTCCTTCAGCATATTCTGGTGTGTGTTTTCTTTGGCTTGGAATCAGGGCTTGCTTTTTTCCTTACATCTTTTGCTTGCTATATGTATTTCGGAACTTGCCTCGACAATAAATGTGAAGTGTCAGCTTGGTCGCTCTGGCATTCTGCTTTGGGCCTTTCAGAGGGTCTGGTAGGTAGATTGTTTTGTATTAGTAGTATTGTATCAGTAGTTGTAGGAGGAGGAGGAGAAGGAGGAGGAGGAGGAGGTCTGGTAGTTGTTATGTGTATGTGTATATGTATCACGGAGGAATATTCGGTAAGTGCACACTTTGTCGTTTGTTCGGTTGTATTAGGATGTGAGGCTGTGGTAATTAGATAGTGATGAGGTAGTAATTGAGTTTGAATTGATTGTGCTGAGAAGCGAGAAGACTCTATTATGCTTAAAAGGTCCTGGTTCTAAGGTTATCAATGCTGGTGATGTCTTGTTTGATCTCAGTGTGATCTTGAACTTGACGGCACGATACCCTTTTACAAGAATGAAGGTTCACTTCTTGTTTTTCACAAAGAACTGACAATGGCGATATCTGAGGGAGCAGTCCTTAGTAGTATGGTATATCTAGTGTTATGAAAACTGTATACTTGTTGATCCGCTTCGTGACGATGCTGTTGTTCAGGCGAATTTCACCATGTCAGTGTTTTGTAGACGACAATCATGTACTTTTCGAGAAAAAGGACTAAGATTTGCTCTCGATTCAGGATGAACAATATCTAGGTACCTACTGTGATTCTATTCGCGAACATAGACAAGTTTATGTGTATATGTATGTACACAAGTGATCTACGTAGGTAGTTGAAAGAAGGAAGGGAACTTTTCGTGTTATTGTTCTTTCTTATATGTACAACAGCCCGACTTAATCATCGAGCCACCTTATAAAACCTCACCTTACGTCACCTCGCTTAAACAAACAAATAACATGTTCCAATACCGACTCTGCTCCTCCTCTTCCCCGAACCCCTTTCTTCGGTCCAAGTAAGCTTTGGAGGAATTCGCTCTTGAAAGTGGCCCCTTCACACTCTTGATCAAAGAAAGAGAAAGGAAAAGAAAAACGCTCTTGTTTGTAAAAGCGCTATTTATTTGTTTTTTTTTTGTTCGTTTTTCCTTCCCTCGCGCTTTATTGAAATCTCGTTATATATACATACAAGCCAGCGAGCTAATAAAGTCTCCCGCATCTCGAGAGCTCACATGCAAATAGACCGGGGGAAACAACGCGCCATTTCATGAACATAGCCAATGAGCTACAATCTTCTCGGTTCATCATTGTTCGATACTTAAGAGTAAACATTTTATCCGCTGATGGAGAGAAAGAAAACAATATCACACGTTCGTGGGTGGTGTACTTCCAAGCTTTGCCTTTGCTATCTGCTCCTCCTTTATTCGCCATTCATGTCCTCATTGTAAACACCATGTGTTATTATCCCCTTTTTAGAAACTTCAACCCATTATTATTATCTTTGTCTCAACTATGATATCTACAGAACTTATCAGATGCTTATTAGACCTCCACAAAACGGTGCTCAAATCATCGACTAGACCAGTCGAGACAAGTTGCAAGGCCAGGCCGTCTCTCTAGGGGGGTAATACTTTGGCTTCTGTGTACAGTATCGTCTGGATAAAGAGCAGTTCACATTCCGTCAAGAAATTTCACGGATGCCACATCATGATTGCCTAGGGCCATCTCCAGCTCACATCCCTTAACCACTCTTGAATCATCTCGCCGAATTCCGCGATGAAGACTTCTACACAACTCCAGAACTCTCTCCAGCCATCCTACTACAAGAATAAACCGACACCAAGTGCGAGCAAGCCACCACTTGACCGCATAGAAAGCCTTCGCCATTCCCCCTCTTCTGAACCTGAGATGCCGCTTCTGACCCCTTCCCATGCCGGCCAACTCTCCTGTCAACCAACATCCGCTGCGAAGATCAACTCAACCTCACGCCTCGACATCCTCACCGCCCACCCCTTTAATCACACTCACGCCAATCGCACACAGAACCATGACGCAAATCATCATGCACATCCTCTCGCAGAGCCTCACCTTCGCCACCGTGTCACCACGTCAAGAAGCCCAACAAAGCAGACTGACTCGCCCTTCCACTACGCAAGTCCACCCGCCCCTTCCATCATAAGCGCTGTCTCATCCTTCCGCAGAGGAAAAGAACAAGGCTAGACAGGCTCGACGTGTTGTCTTCCTAGACGAAGGAGGCTGTGTTGGCAGGATACCGGGATGCCCGTAAAGAAAAAAGAAAAAAGAAAGACTAATGCGACTCTGCCTCCCTCCTGTTTCCACTCGCGACGACTTTGGGGAGCCCGTGCGCGGCGTCTGCAGTCTCATAATGGAAATGAGCATCACATGTAAGTGCAGGCTCTGCTTTTCAGCTGAGCCGTAGTAGTCCCTCTCTTCAAAGGACTTTAGCACCTCTGCCTTTATTTGCTGCAAGCTGAGCCCGCGGCTACACGGCAAGCAAAGTCGACTCCTGGACTCTGGGCTAAAAGTCTGTGCCACAGTCCCCGTTCAACGACCCGCGACAGCACATTTGGGTATGCCGACATACGATGACTGGACTCTGGTGCCACCAAGAGCGGTCAGAGACACAGGGCTGAGCAGCAAACAGATGTGTGGCACGGCACACGAGGCGTTACTGCAGGGCAGCACTATTCCTGCCGAGGGCTTGCTCAGGAGCATGTGATTCCTCGAGAAGAAGCTGCTTCTGCCTGACTCGAACGTGCATCTATCTGGGCGCCTTGAAGCCAAGCTGGCAGACAGGAAATCCAGACATAGATGGCACAGGGCGGCCGGGAGCTTCCCTAGAAACCCGAGACTGAGACAATTGCGGGACTGGGAGAAATGTCTTTGCTTCAGCTCAGCGTCTTCAGGGCCTCTTTGAGATCCGGTTCGTCGCCGTTGCGTAACACATGACGCCCTCGTCCATTCCAGATCTGCAAAGCATGTCATTCAAACTCGACGGCGTAACGTCCGCTCACACTGTGAGTACTCTTCGCCCATGAACCTCCCACGATGCAATCATGCAGAGCAGGGCACTCCACTATACAACCAGTCAGTCAATATACAAGAAGCCGAAAGACACAGAGATCCCCTCCCCGCGCTTCCGTGCTTCTGGGCCTCGTAATGGCCATTGCGGAATCAAGAAAGCATCTGCTCATGAATAAACCCCAGTGTCAAGTGGCGTTCCGGTTAAGCAGGGCAAGCTTTCGTCTCCGACACGTTTTGTTGGTTAGACCTCTCCAGGCTCAACTCTCCATATCAGGGGCCAAAGGTCACGGCCTCGACAATAGTCCCTCTACCTCCTCCCACGCTCGCTTCTTCTTGGCACAATTCTTTGGGCATCCTGCAGGACCAGCAGCGTACCATTCCGTTCCATCTCAACGAGGCTGGGAAGCCTTACCCCGGAAAAGGAGGTCGTTGCATCCCCAGATACCGCCACACCGGACCGGCGGCTATCGTCGGTAAGCAGCATGCACTGTCTGGCGTCTGATGGCATGGCAATTCCTGGGGAAATGTCCACTCTGGAGGGCCTCTCCGGAAAATCACTACTAATAGAAATCGAACCCCGACATCTTGGCTGCGGGCTTAGTATATGAAATCGGGCCTAGAATACGATGCAGCCATGTGTTGCAGGCTCATCTTTTCGATGTCTTGATATTGGGGTAGTAGCAGGCCGTTGCGAGTAGTACAGTAATAAGCAGTGCTGGCAGATGCCGGAGCGCTCCATGCAGTGCGTTCTTGTGCTAGGCGCAAGTTCGGCTGGCTGGCACAAGCTCGAACCCGAGCCGTCCCCGAGAGAAAGGCCTGTTTCTGCAAGCCACTGCCACTGATGAGCCTCGGCTTCAAGCTGCGGTGCGCTGTACGTCAAAGTGCGTCAGACGCTCTGGTTAGTGTCACAAGCAGGGGGCACAGTCTGCCCTTTGAGAATGGCCGCGAGTGCCCCCGACTCCCGGCTGTTTCGACAAGGCTTGACGATCCGGACAATCTTGGCTGGTCATTCCGTCCACAGCAGAGCTGGAAACGCAGCTCGCACGGGCGCGCTGGAGAAGCAACAGGTGGATCGCTTCAAGACCATCGCGGCGAGTCGGCGGCAACTCTGAGCTCCGCTTGTCAGTCCCCGCATCCAATATCGACCATCTTGGGCACGAATAGCACGCGCTCCTTTTATGTAATTCGGCAGTGTTCCGGCTCGATCCCCCATCGCGACAGCGGTCCCCTTCCCCAGGGTCGCCCTCCAGCGCTTCCGAGTGAGCAACGACGTTGTCTGCGTGTTGTACCTAACTTGGGACGCGGTGATCGAGCCGCTGTCCCTCGTACATAAGCCGGGATGGCTTTTCAGGGGAAACCGTGATGCATGCGCTTCCTCCCGAACTTACATAAGAGCGCCTCCCCCGTTCCATGCGGGATCCCATCCAAGCCCATCCTGGCATCCAGTCAAGGCCATGCGATTCGTAATGCTAAAACAAGCCACCATTTGAGCGTTGCTGCGTCGCCCGCCCA